CATAGATTCCCCATAGATTCCCCATAGATTCCCCATAGATTCCCCATAGAGACCCATAGAGACCCATAGATCCCCCATAGAGACCCATAGGGACCCATAGATCTCCCATAGAGACCCCTAGATCCCCCATAGGGACCCATAGGTCTCAGTTCTGGGAAGATCCCACATACTGGGGGGGTGGAGTCCCATATGGGGGTCCCGTATTTTTATTGGGGGGGGGTCTCAATTATGGGGGGTCCCATGTATGGGGGGGTCCCATATTTTCTTTTGGGGTGGGTCCCGTATTTTGGGGGTGTCCCATACTTTTATGGGGGGATCCCATGTATGGGGGGGGTCCTCATCTATTGAAGATCCCATATATTTTGGGGGGGGGGGGTCTCGGTTCTGGGGTGATCCCGTATGTTATGAATGCGTGGTGGGCGTGGCCTCAGGAGGGGCGGGTTTATGAATGGGGTGGGCGTGGCTTCGGGGAGGCGGATTTATGAATGGGGTGAGCGTGGCTACCGAGGGGCATTCTGTGAGCGAGTGGTGGGCGTGGCTTGTGGAGGGGCGGGTCTTTGAATGGGATGGGCGTGGCCTCAGGAGGGGCGGGTTTGTGAATGGGTGGTGGGCGTGGCTTGGGGTTCGGTTTTTAAATGGGGTGGGCGTGGCTTGAGGGGGGCGGGTTTACAAACGGTGGTGGGTGCGCACTCATGAGGGGCGGGTTTATGAATGGCGGTGGGCGTGTCTTGAGGGGGCGGGTCTTTGAATGGGGGTGGGCGTGGCTTCATGAGAGGCGGGTTTATGAATGGGGGGTGGGCGGGGCGGGTTTATGAATGGGGGTGGGCATCATCATGGAATATCCTGAGGTGGAAGGAACCCATCAGGATTGCCCAGTCCGACTCAATTACTTGTGTCACTGTTAAATCAATTCCCCCTGCTATTAAGCAGCACTCAGCTTTGCTGGTACTGACTGAGCATTCCTCCATTTTATCTGAACTGGCAAAACGTGACACTTCTTCCTGCATTTTAATTCATATTTTTCCTGGACACACTGAGCCCATTGTGGCTGGGGGTCCCGTTGGACTGTGGGGCTCTCTGGGCTCCTGTTTTAATGGGAACATCTCTACACATGTATACATCAGTCTCCAAGTTGCCAGGCATCAGTTGTCAATGGAGAAAAGCCACATTTGACATCTGCCTCTATAGCAGAGTCCATCTGGCTTTTCAAAGTTATTCTGCTGAGGATAAAGACGTTCCACTGCTTTGTCCTTATGGAGCACTTCATGACACGCATCGAATTTGGCAGCCAGCAGAAGAGAAGACCTCCTAAGGGCGGCTTTCAGTATCTCAAGGGGGGCTGCAGAAAGCAAGGGACAGATCTTTAGATTGGACATAAGGATGAAGTCTGTTACAATAAGCGTGGCGCTGGAACAGGGACACTGAGGGCCCCTGGGGCTCTCCGAGCCCTGAGCACTGGGCGTCAGGGCCTGGGGATGGATGGGATGGAGGGCACCATCCCCCACCCCTTTCCAGGGGGACCACCGCCACCCCCAGACCTTCCCTCGTGCTCTGTGGTGCAGAGGAGGAGGGTCTCGAGCTGACTACGGATGGCCCAGGGTCACTGTGGAGGTGGGACAGGGGCTGTGGCTGCTGCCCCCAGGGGACAATGTCCTGCCCTGGGCTGCTGCCAGCCCTCCTCCTGCCCAAAGTCCTGGGGCACAAACCCTGCACAGACAAGGCTTCTCCATGGTCACTGACACCTTCTGACATCCTCTGCTGACCGGTGGAGCCTTCTGAAGAAGAAGGAAGACCCTGATGATCGCTGACATCCTCCAGTCATCAATGAAGCCCTCAGCAAAGCCACGCTCTGTGTGTCTGCGTCCTCGTCCCCACGCTCTGCAGGAACCGCTCACATCTGTCCCTGCCTGGCAGAGGCCACCCCTAGGTGCTTGAGGGGTCCCCAGCTCCGTGCCCCGCACCCCACGTCCTGCACCCGTGGATCTCTCCATCTCCTCTGTGCTGCCTCCTCCAAAATCCTAAAGGACGGAGCACCCCAAGCTGCCAAGCAGTCCCAATATCCTCCCTCTGCTCTCTCCCAATTCCTCCTTCCAGTTCCTGCCAAACCCTTCACCCTCTGTTCCACCTCCATGGCCACGATGTCCCCAGGTCGCTCTCCTTTTACCCCCTCCCTTATCGCAGCCAATTGCCCCTCACTTGGATCTGCTTCAGCCCTCCTCCTGCAGTCCCACTTCCCCTCCATCACTACCCAACGTGGAGTCCCCAAATCCCCTCTCTCAGGCACCTCAGATCTCCTCTCTGATGACCGATGACACCCTCTGTTGATTAATGAAGCCCTCTGACCTCAGTGAAGATCTCTGATGATCAGTGGAGCCCTCTGACAGCCAACAAAGCCTTCAGATGACCGCTGACAATCTCTGATGGCAAACTGAGCCCCCGATGATCAGCGGGCTGCTGCTTCAAGTGCAGGAAAGGGAAGGGAAGGGTGAGAAAGAATATTTTGACATCATTTGGTTGAAAGCATCATGGAATAAAGATTTCTTAGGATTTAATCAAGCACAGAATTTGGAGAGAAGTGTGAGTGCATCACGCTTGAGTGTGCTGCCCGGTGCCCGGGACCGGCTGCCTGATTCTAATCCTCCTCCAAGAGGCTCGGCTGCTCCACAGCGATGCCGACGCGCTCCTCGTGGAGGTGCTGCTGTGCGGGCACTTGGACTCCGCTTGGGGTGGGCTGCATTGCCGTCCCACGCGTCCCCGCCCTCCTCGTCCTCTGCCCGCAGCCCCAGCCGGGGCCCGGCTGCCCCGGGGCCCTGGAAACGGAGCGGGCGCACGGCGCGGGGCAACGCCGCGGGCGAGCGGCCGGCGCCATGCGGGACGCGCGCGGAGATGACGCAATGACGGCGCGACCGCGGCCGGAACGGAGCCCGCGCAGAGCTCCCGCCCCATCCGGCGGACCGGCCAATGGCAGCGCGGAGGAGGGGGGGCGAGCGCGGGCTCTCCGCCAATGGCGGCCGCGGACAGGGGGTCGGTATGATGGCGGAGCCGCGGAGCTCCGCGTGGGGGAAGCGGCGCTTAGCCGCCCCGCCGCCCCGCCGCCCCGCCCCCCGTGCAGGGAGGTGCGGAGAGGACGGAGCCAGGCTGCACCCGGCGGTGCCCAGCAGCGGGACCGGAGGCACTGGGCACACGCTGCAGCGCAGCAGGTTTCCCTGCAAGGCTGCCACGGCCGCGCTGCTTCCCCGTTTTGGGTAACACTACTGGATATGTATGGCTGGGCTGATGAATGTATCGAGACCCCACTGTAGCGCGCGAGCTCGGAGGAGCGATCCGCCTTGCACCCGGCGTGTGGCGCAGCGCTGAAGGAAAGACGTCTCTGCTCTCCTAACCTGACGTGGGTTCGAGAGTTTGATTCTGCAGATCAGTTGGGCACCGCAGATGGGACACTTTCTGTTCGGCTGCAGGACCAGTTGAGGAGGGAGAATTGTTGGAAGGACTCCCCCTGCTCATCCGATCACTGCGGGGACAGACGGGGACCATGTGGAAGCGGACCAGGTGCGTTTGAAGGGAGGCTCCGTAAGGCGTACGCAGGAGCCGGGGACTCCGTCAGACGTGAGGGGCCGCCCCACGCGGGAGGGCTTCACCCTGCGGGTGGACTAGTGCAGGGGTGCGGGGCGGGAAGGTAATGACCGGGAAGGACGGGTGCCTTGTAGCACTGTGTCTGACTGCAGGGACTGCGGGTTCGAGCCCCACCTCTGGCTGGCACTTGTAAGCTAGGCTCGCGCTTGGGCACTGGAAATCACGAGTTCATAAGCATGTAGAACTCAGGTCAGTTCCAGGCATTGTGGGTTAGAGGCCCACCCGAGTTGGCGAGGTGCAGTGCTGACAGCTGCCAAGTGATGACCTGCATCATTGCAGCCGCGGCAGTGGGAAGAATGATCTGCGCTGTTGTTGCCATCTGCAAATGTCCAGCGCTGTGTGTTTGAACAACTGCTGTTGGTTTATTCGGGATTTTAATTTGAGGAAGCTACTGGGTTTAACTTCGTTTTTAAATGAGCGTAATTATAGGAGAATTCAGGATCTCTCCTGAAGTGCACGTATTGTGCATGTATATGATGGGATAAATCTTAAGCCCTGGCTTGAGCCCTTTTTGCTCATCTGTGAACAGATGCACGATTTCAGGCCAGCCTCTGTTTTCTGTAAGACTCCAATTAAACTGTATTTGCGTGCTGTGGCTGTGAAGTTCAAGGTCCTGGCGACAGATTGCATTGAGGACCAGATCAGAAGGCCTGGAAAATGGGGCCTTGTCGACTCCTTTGGCTGCTTCTTAAAACGAGTCCTGGCGGATGGCTGCTCAGAGCTGTATTCTCTGCTTTATTGGTGTGCAGATAAAAGGCTGGCGATGTTTCTTACTGGTGCTTCAAAACAAACACTCCAAAGCCCACGCAGAGATCACCACCTCCAACCACAGAGCTACCAGAGGAACTGTAGAGCATAGCAGCTTCTATAGCTACTGCTGTTGGAGCGTTTGGATCTCAAGTGCCTGCAAAGGTTGGTGTGCTTTCCATGGGTGGTTTTTGTTTTGTTTTTGCTTTATTTTATCCTTGAGGAGACATTTGATTCCTTTCAGTTTGAGAAAATAGAGTGAAGTGCCTCCGTATTCTTATCCCACTTGAGACTCTCGTCGGTGTAAGCCAGCATTTCTTTGTGCATGGCAAAAGGGAAGTACTTTGTCCTGCTGGCTTCTGAAAACGTGGCTTGGCAATTACTGTGCCAGCAGAATAAACCTCGGGGTTTATTCCAAGGCTGCGTGCTCTGAAATGCTGCTGTGGTTTGAGTGTTGGAAGTGGTCGTGACCTTTCTGCTGGCATCAGTTCCTTCCCAGGGAATAACTGCAGCTGACTGCAGGTCCTGTTGTTCCATCCCCACAACAGATATTCCGAGAGTCTGTTTTTCTGTTATTAGTATGACTGCATTATTGGGATGGTGGCTCACTGAGGTACGTGGATTGCTCTGAAAGGAATGCCTCCTGTTTATTTGCACAGAAATGACAACGGATACATGGGGCAAGTCCTCAGCTACAAAGCTGTTTTTCAACATGGCCGCCACCATTAACTATCGTTATGTCTTTGGTTTTTTCCTCCAGTGTTGAGCGAGAGCCTGCGTGCTGCGCTTGTTTAAAAAGAAACCATAATAATTGAGATAAATCCGTTTGGCTGGGTGGCTCCTCTTGCGTTGCTGCTGCCGCTGCTGAAATGCACCACCACTGCTTCACTGCGCTCACCTCCACGTGCCGGGCTTCATAAATGCTCTGCAGGCATTGATGGATGTCAGTGGTGCCATGTTTTCCGTGTGGAGGAGTTCAGGGACACCCTGTGCTCCGTGAGCGCTTGTGAGCCAGGCGCTGTGCTGTCATTCTGGCCCTGTGCTGCCGGCTGTGGCACGGCTGCAAAATGCAACGGAGTGCTGGCAGGAAGGTTCAGCCTCTGCTGCCATCCCACCAGCGTCCACCTGTGATGTTGTGGGCCGGCTTTATAGGACAGGAGGCATTACTTTTGGATCAGCCCTTGTATAGTAATGAAAAATTAAGGCTTATAACAGCTGGCTGAGTAAATTGGTGGCTGCTAACGAGATCCACAACTACAGGATAGCAGTAGTTAGACACCGACAGCTTTCACGGTCAGTTTAGATTCCGTGGCTGTGTTGGGTTAATTTTTATTGAATGTTGTAAATGAATTGTTATTTCATGTTTCATTGCAGCAGTTCCTGAAAACTCCTCAGGTGTGGAGTTTCATCCATTCCGAATCTGCCAGCTCTGGTGTTCTTGAGCAGCTCCATCCTGCAGAGGTGAGTGGATTGGTTCTCATACTCGATTGTGAAAGTGCTGTTAGGAATCGGTATTGCAAGAAAGAAGCCTTCTTTTGTTTCATAATACGGAATTACAAAGTCAGAAGTAGAATCCCGCACGTGGGAGTATTGTAAGGATGTTTCCCTCGTCTCTTCTGAGAGGAACTTTGGGGTCTTTGGTGCGCATTCATAAGGTGCTGATTAGTCTGGTGATGCAGATTGTTTTGGAGGTCTCAAACCCTGCAGCCTTTGAGCAGATACGCGCTTTGAGAGCAGTGATTGATGTGGTTGCAGCGTGACAGTGCAGCACACGGCTGGCCTTTTCCATCTTCGGGCCCACCTTACTGCCTTTCCACCCTGTGCACTGAATTGCAGTGACATGTCAGTATCGGATCCCTCAGCACTGTGCTGAGCCTCACCGTACTCATACTCACCACTGGATGTTGCTCAGCTTCAGCGATCGTGTTTCTGCTACAGAAGGGCTTGCCGGATATCTGTAGCATTGATCCGGCCCAAAGGTGACAACCTTCCAACCTGCTGCTCTCTGCCCGTGTTCTCTGTCACAACATCGGATGTGTGTGCTGGCTGGATGCACTGATAAGAAATGTTTTTGAGAAGAGAACCTCGTGCTTCCCAGAGCAGTAAGACTGGGAGGATTTGGGAGGCTCTTCACAAACCTGGTTAGAGTGTGCTTTCCCAGACGGCGTGCTGTTAAAGCAGCCCTTCTCAAAAGCAGAGCGTTGTGCCTGGTGTGACTGAAATCCCACCCACAAAGGAGCATTCCCTGCAGTCTCTGATCTCAGGTGTGTGTTTCCCCCACTGCTGGAACTGCTGGGCTTTCACGCCTTCACTGTGTGTGTTTGGCTCTCCTTATTAGCTCTGTTTGTTCTACCAGCTGTATGCAAATGTATCGAGAGGTAATGAAAAGATCTTTGAAAATAGCTTGGAGATATTAACCTGAGGCAAGAAGGTGAATTTTACTGCCTTAAATCAGGCTGCAGAGGATGTCCTTGACCTCAGAAGCTTGGGCTTTGTTGTAGCCTGATATTTCCTGCTTGAACTTTCTTTAACTCTAGGACTGGAGGGGGAGCTTTTCTTCACGCCTTGCTGTGTATGAAACTTGAACTGCACTCGAGACGGGCAGAGATGTAGCTGAGCAGAGCCTCCAGCAGCTCAGCCCTTTCCTTCAGACGACGAAGATGGCTTTAATATTCTTAAGTCAGAAATCTCGTGTCAAAACTTAATTCTGGTGTGGACGCACCTCGCTGTGGGAGACGTGGCAGCTGTGGTCTTTGAGTCACCACAGGTGTGGGACACGTGAAGTAATCACAGCATCACAGAATGGTAGGGGTTGGAAGGGACCTCCAGAGCTCATCGAGTCCAACCCCCTGCCAAAGCAGTTCCCTACAGCAGGTCGCACAGGTCGGCATCCAGGCAGGTCTTGGACATCTCCAGAGCAGGAGACTCCCCCACCTCCCTGGGCAGCCTGTTCCAGTGCTCCGTCACCTCACTGCACAGCCGTTCCTTCGCACATTGGTGCAGAACTTCCTATGCTGCAGTTTCCGGCCGTTTCCCCTCGTCCTGTCTCCACTCACCACTGAAAACAGTCTGGCCTCTCCATTCTGCCCCCCACACCTTAGATATTTATAGACCTGGCTGTCACTCGTTATCATCATCCGGTGTCACCACCACCTGTGTGTCACCATCTCTCGGGTGACACCATTCCCTGCGCTCTGACCACCACATGGGGGCAGGCACAGGCGGCCCCGCGTTGTCCCCGTGCTGTCACTGAGCCTCTCGCTGTCCTTTCTCACCCCTGCAGCCCTGCCTGCAGCCGGACCCGCTGACACCGGAGCCCTCTGCCGCTGTCACCATCGTCTGCCACGAGGACGGGGACGCACAGTGATGAACTCTGTGCCACCACCAGCCAATGTCAGGTGTCACTGTCATGTGGAGGGGACAAAAGGACCCCCTGGGGACCTGCCAAAAACTTCACCATATCTAGGCTTTCAAACAAGTCCTCCTGGATCGCTTCTCTTACGCCCAGCTCACGAATGTAGTATGTAATGTAATTCTGAAGGTCCTCCATGGAAGACCACAATCCTGTGCTTAATGGAATGCCTGATTTGTTCGGCCAAGCCACGTGGATGCTGCCATTCACCAGTCTGTTATCGACTGGTTCTCACTGCTCTATGAACAGCAGCATACAGCCTCTGCCTGATGACAGTGTTACCGTCATGGTGGCCAACTTTGATACCTCTGGCCCATTCACCATGACACCTTCCGCCCCTGAGCCCCACAACCCAAGTAACCACGTGGGCACAACTCTCTTTCGGCCTCTGCCAAAGTGCTGCAGCACATCCATCAGTTCTGTTGGTGCGCACAGCCTGGCCGCCAAGTGTGAATGCGTTTGGGCAGGGGGCACCCCACCAGTCTGCCTTGGACTCAGTCTTCTGGGTTATAATGGGATGGGGTTCCAAGGAATCTGCCACACGTGGAGCCCCTAAATCTGACCTAGAGTTTTTGTTTTCCTGTTCAACCAGGTCCGTTGCTTCAGAGGTGTGGTCATTACCTACTGAAATGCTGGCCTATCGAGGAACATCAAGCTCGTCTTTCCCCTGTGAATACATTAAGTTCCTGTTCCAGTTTTTCAGTACGATCTTTTAATAGCTGATTTTTGAGAGTGAGTGGAAAAGGGGTCTGGGGGATGGAGGGAGGGCAGAGCTGGTGTTTGGGGGGGGCTGGTATGGGACATAAAGGGGGTCCAAGTGGGGAATATTGAGGATCAAAATGGGGGAGCAGACTCCCGATGTCGGGAATCCAGTTACTGCAGCTGGATTCTGTCACTCCAGAAGAGCCACTAGCAGAGCAGAGGAAGATGGCTGCAGCAGGTCACGCACCTGGCCCACCATCCGGCAGCTAGAATGGCCAGTAATGAACACCCGGCAACCCCTCTGCGCTTCAGAGTGAAA